TTTCTATGCCTTGTTTACCGTTTTCATGTTTTCTACGGACGAGTCACTGTCGTCGGCTTCGTTCCTGGATTTATCCGCCGTCGGAAGCGTTACGACTGTTCCGCAATTTTTGCAATGTTTGTGCTTGTTGCTCGATCCGTGGATCTTCTGCCTCCTGACGATCGCGTTTATGGCATCCTTGTTCAGTTTCCTCAATGTGCTGGTCACGTCCGACTTTATCGGAGTTTCCCTTAAAAATTTCTCCTCGCTGGATATCGTCCGCGGCTCGTGATTCTCCAACTCTATTCTTGATTCCGTTACTCTTTCATCGCTCTTATTTCTGTCTTCCTCTAGTTTCGGGGAAGATGATTCCTCATCTTTCTTTTCACTGTAAATATTCATATTTCTCTTCTAACTATGATATTTAATGAGTTAAGTATGATTAAGTGACACTTTATGGGTGCTGATAAAAAATTGCTGAGTTTTTCGTACGACACAGACCCCCATAAGTCTGCCACTCTAGTAATCCCCCCTCTGTGGTATGCATTATGTAAAACGTAAAATTGCTGTTTACATGAGAGATTCCTCTTGCTCCACTGTATCAGCTGTAGCCTCTTTACGTTCCGTCAGCTTCTCGTGTTCGGAGGGGACCGGTGACTCCGTTTTCGCCTCAATGTTTTCGTTCGACGACTTCCGGTGCCTCTTTCCCCTCCTAGCGTGTCTTTTCACCGGTGGCATAAGTTTAGATAACTTGAGAAGCGTGATCGGCACCGTGTCGTCCACGTTTTCTGTTTTCTTTACGTAGTTAGACAACTCCTCGTCGAGCCCGATATCACACTCGCTCGTACTCTGCATCACTTTCGGAGGAATCAGTTCCACTATCTCCTTATCTCTATTAAATAGAAATTAAATCGTTAACGTTTATATATAGAATTATCGTATCTTCATCCGAGTAAGATTAATAGATATAACAGATAAGAGTAGATGATAAATATATTAAAAATTAGAGATAATGGGGATCAGGTAGCAATCGTAGATAAAAGAATTAGTAAACGAATTAGTAGAAATTCAAGACGAGTTTATTCGACGAAACTGGTACAGGACAGGGGGAAAAGGCACACACGATCGCCACGAAGGAAGTAACGCGATACAACAAACGCCGCTCACTATTCCGTTTAACAGCGCGGCACGTGCCGGTTCCAGCCGCGTTCATAGAAAGGACCGGTCACCTCGTCTCGACCGTTGCTCTCTGCAACTGACGAATCGTCTGAAAAACAAGATTATCTCGTTAAAAACTTTCGAATCCGCCGAAAAACACTCGGAGAATCCCGGTTATTTCCTCGACGTTCTCTTTCCATTGTCTCACACGTGTTTCCTATATACTTCCTACCGGTCGTTACTTCGGTTTTTGCTCCAAACAGTACTACAATGGCGCACCGTGAAAATTGATCACGCGAATGGCCATTTGTTTCGAGTTTGGAACGCAGGAACTACCTTAGGATTTACGTAAACTTTGTTCAGGTAATATCACGTTTATCTTCCTTGTACTTTCAACTGTCTGTTTATACGCGAACGTTCTATCAGAGATTTCGATAACGTAGATCAAACGTTCTATGAGTTGCAGTTATTACATTGGAAATCTCAGCGTTGTCTTGTTCAGAATATTTTTGCGATACAAATGAGACATACCTTTTTCGCATCTTCTAGGCTGGCAGGAATATATTTCGAGTTGATCGTTTGTGCCAGATTGCTATAATCTCTGTAAAGAATATATTGATCTTTCAGCCACTGTTTAATCATCAGAATTCTCTCTCGTAGTCCAGTAGTCTCATATCTCGGTTTCAGACTAGCCTCCTCTGCGTCTAAATACCAAAATAATAAAATATGTAATTAGTATTATAATTTTTCTCACGTAATTAGAATTTGGGAATTAAAAATCGCTCACCGGGTCTCGCGAAAGCCTCAATTCTTGGAAACTCGAGTCTTCTGAAGGCAGTGATAGGATTAGTGGTCGCGGACTCGCCCGGCCCATACTCTAATCGAGTGCGTTCCAATTGTAGTAAATAATTCCGTATGTCCTCGCGTTCCTGTTGCAACCTGATCGCGGCCGCGTGCTTTCGCAGCCGATGCGTCTGTCTGCAGTCGAACCTGGAGTGCTTGCTCTCCACTTTGCTGTAGTGCGACGATTTCTTCTTCGACGCCCTCACGCTTTTTCTACTCTTACCTTTTTTATCTCTGATCCTTTGGTCATGGCAGGAGTCCTTGAACTGTTTATTTTAAGGATGTATTGGCTATACAATCAATTCCAAAAGTTTATGCACTTTAGAAATGCATTTTTTAAAAAGAAATCAGACGTCGGAAGAACATTGTTAATAAT